AGTTAACTCTTGTTCACACCTAAATGGAAGATACTTAGAAAAAGAATTTAATGAGAAAATAGGACAGACTTCAGTGATTGGGATCAGGACAATGTGCTGATCACCTGGCTATTTACAGTCAACTGGCTCCTTTTATCTCCTTTGCCTTGTATCTCCTTTGCCTTACACTTGCTCCTCCCTGATCCACCTTGATCCCTCCTTTTCCCTGCCTTTATTCCCTCCCCTAAACCTTCCCTGGTAAGTCTCATCCATTTACACAATCCCCTTAACACATCCTGTAATAAATTTTATGCAATATGTTCTTTTTCCCCGCATCTCTTGATAGTTGCACCCCCTGTGGCAATACCCCCATCAGCCTGAGGGCCTTCTGAGGGAGCTTTCTCTGTTGGTTGGCTCATCTGGATGGATTTCACATTGGGACAGGGGTATCTGCAGCGCTTTGCTGTCCCCAAGAGCTCTTAAATGACTGGTTAAATAAATCTATGGGATGTTAAAGGCCACAAGTTTTAAAACTATTTATGCCAGCTTGTAAGGAGACAAACCCTTGCCTGAATTCTGCACTCTTCTCAATAAAAGAATACCGTGTTTATTTGACCACTGAACTGGAATAATAATCAACAACATAATATAATTATGGTAAATAAGCAGATACACAGCTAACAGCAGATTGCTGATGAAAGCCTCCATTAGAGCTATTACATTTTTCTGTTGAGAAATTGAAATGGCAATAGTTCTATAGAATTGGGTGGTATTGTATTTTTTTCTCTGATGATATTCTGACTTACATGAACGGTTTCTAACTGAAGGATTTATTTTTTAAATAGAAGTGCAGGTGGGAGTCGGGCACAATGAGATTTCCTGCTTCACTAGCTAACCCTATGCAGATTAATGATTCACTTCAGCTCTGTCTGAATAATATTAGTGTAGCAAATTATCCTCTGTAGTAGGATGCACTTTTCTATGCCTTATGAGGCATTCATAAGAAGATACAGCGCTATAACTTATGGAACTGTTCCTCACAATGTGTGCTTCACAGATCTCACTGCTGAGACAATTACCGGTGAAAATGAGACCCAAGACTCATTTTGTTTCTCATCTTTAGGATTATGTTATTATGCTGTCTATAATTTGGGAAAGGCTTAAAGGACTATTTAGACTGTTTCCCTCCCACTCCCATAATTACACCCCGGTCGCATGAGCAGAGCGAGGAGGAAAACCCTCCAGCTGCACTTTGGCAGCTGCCTTAATGGACTATCACATCCTGCCAGGCAGCGTTTGCAGCAGCAGAATTCGGTCTCCAGGTGATATTGGATTGGACTTGTGTAAAACCAGATGTGCTGTAAGATTGTCCCGTTGTTACATCAATTGACACGTGTCAGTTTATGGATGCTATTTGAGCAGTAAACCAGGCATGCTCCAGCAATTACCCTGGGGGAGCAGACGCTCAGTGGTAATGTTTACTGTGCAAAGCTGAGCAGGTTCACTTTTTTGATTGTGGAAACAAATGCAGTAAAAAGCAGTGATTCATTAGACTTCATTGGTATTAGTAGTCTCATGCCACCAAGTTCTAGCCGGTCTTTTCTGTGCCACCTGCTCTGGGTGGACCTGCTATGGGAGGGGGTTGGACTGGATGATCTCCAGAGGTCCCTTCCAGCTCCGTATCATTCTGTGATTCTGTTGTATTATAGTAACCAGAACAGCATTTGCTAAGAAACCCCAGAATAAAATAAGGTACTCTTGTGCCTGGAGAAAGACGGTTTTCCAATTGGCTGGAAATGTTGCTTCCATGACATTGACTTGCTTTGAGAATCATTATGGAGCTGCCGTTCATTTTAGTCTCCTCTCTTCTCCACTCATTATTGTCAACTTTTTTTAGTGAGCACATCGAAGCATGGAGTATGTTGTGTTTGTTGTCTGTGTCATAGCACTGAGATGACCTGGCACAACCATCTCCCCAATTCATGCTAAGGCTCTACAAGTCTAGCTGTCCCCAAAGAAAAGATGTTTCTAAGGAACATGGATTATCATCCTGTGCTTCCTTCAGTCTGACCTTAGTGAGAAAGATGAGGAATATCAGCCAGGCCAAGGTGTTGATGTATGTGCTTGCTCATCTTCCCTCAACTGCAACTACCCTTAACAGCCCATCAACATGTAAAACCCCTGGATTTTAGTTCCAGCTCTATTTCTCTGCCCAGGAAATTATTTTGATTTATACAAATCTTTCAGTTCCACTTGGGAATAGAGGCTTGAAAGACAAAGGAGAATGTTCCACACGTTGGTGGGTTGCAGATATCTCAGTGCTGGTGCAATGGCCACTATGGGAACTCCCCCAGGCTGGGACTGGGTCAGGCCAAAAACTAATGGAATAGTAGTTAAAAACAAATCTTCACATGTACTGTTTTATTTATGTTAACAAGCTTTTTTCCTTAATGAGTTTAGATTGAGAGAAATAATGTTCATCCTGCTGTATGCTGCAATGTGCTGCTTCCTCTCCTCTGCTTTTTTATTAACATTTTGTTGCAGTTTCATTTACAAAGTGTGCTAAAAATAATCAAAGCCAAAGGTATATAATAAATTGCGGTCAAACAGGGCGCTATCCCAGAAGGTAAGAAAAGAGACTTCAAACAAATCTTCAGCAGAATGTGCAGGAAATGTTCTTGAGATGGGGCTCTAATTTGAGAGGTGGCTGCAGAAGGTTTCTCTCTCCCACACAGCCCAGTGTCTCAGAGCAGCCAACAGGAGAGGGCTTCCTGGGGATCACACCTCCTGGCCCCACAGAGCCAGAGCCTCCAAGATGTTTGCAGAGCTAAAGGTTCTCTTGGCTTAAGGCAATGTAAATAGCATTGAATCTTCTGTGAAGTTTTGCAAAATTTAAGACTTCCACACAGGAAACTATACATGCATACCTGAGATAATGAATTTATTCTCAGCTGTGTCCTAAACCACTGGTCTGCCAGGGTAGAAGCCCTGGAGGTGTGTTCAATCTTAGTTGTTTTCCAGTCAATATATAAGGCATAGTCATGTTATGGCAACTTGATGTATGACACTTAATTAAATTTTTTTAAAAAGTATTTAGAAGTGCTCTAGAATGAAATCTGTGTTCTGAACAGCTGGAGCTGAAAGAGATTGTGGTTTGACTAGGTCATGCTGGTGTGAAAATAATTTACATTGTACATTAGATTCTTTACTCCTGCAAAGGACAATGTGCAAAATAACTTTTCATAAACTAGTTCCTTAATATATAGCTTTTGCTCATTACCTACCTTAGGAAATAATGAATAATTAAACACTCCAGCTATTTTCTTTCATTTCAAAGAACTTAACTGGGGAGGAACACTTTGAAGAGGTATATTAATGCTGTGTTTTTCTCTGTTTATTATAAACAATATTGGTGATACTGATCCAGTACTTTTACAGTTACATTTGTTTGTGGCCACAATGAAATATAACTATCAATGAATTTAAGAAAGGAAAGGGCATTTATGAAAGAGGGAACAAGTGATTGTATGATTCCTGTTGAAATAATGGAATGAAACACAGCTTTCTGCTCGTCTCTGGAGATTTTCTTTTATTCTATTGAAGAAAAATATTGATAACTGGAGATAATCCTCCACAAATGCACAGTTACACACATGTTTTTCAAATAAATACAGCATCACACACTTCTTATTCCCACTGAAGAACTTTGGTTGCTGGTGATCTGACTTCCTGACGGAAGCTAGTGCGGATCTTCCCGTATTCTCAGCATCTACACAGAAGGCAGGAATCATAATTGGAGATAAACGTTTTCTTTGCCTCTGTCATCAAATGTACTGCTGTATTTGCAGTACTCTGCCACTTAAGACAATTTCTATTTTCTAATAATGTCCTGGTTTGAGGTAAAAGAGAACCAAAATGACCGAAAGCACGACAAATAATATTGATGGTTATTAAAAAAACAAATTTGAGTCTTCTTACTGTTTCTTTCATCGATTACTGGAGGATCTTCTTCCACGGGGGCGACTGATTGGTTGAGTATTTACAGAAGATTTTGGGTGGACTAAGTGGGAATCGTGCAGCTTCTTTACAGTGACTATCCCATATATCAAACATTCAGTGTTAAACCAACGCCCTTCTCCATGATACCCTCTGGCATCCTCGTGTGCAGACTCACAGCGCTGCATCTTAAAAATATTAATTTACTGCAGGTTCTGCTTTTCTAATGGAAACTGCTGTTTCCTTTCCTTAGCTTCAGTTCCACCTCCGTGGCATGGAGATGTTACAGGTTAAAAAAACCAAACCAAAGCTGGTCACTCATGTGTGTCATTCTGCGGCTGGAAATGTGTTGTTTGTGGATTGCATTCCACGAGCCTCTAAACAGAAATAACCCTTGATAAATCAATTGAATAGGCAGGTGAAATGGACCCTAATGAGCATTGATTACGTGCTTACATTCTGTTTATAGGGATATTTGATGTGGCTCTGTCCTATAAAGCTTATTTATGGCCACAGTGCTGAGCCATGTGATTAAAACAAGAATGTTTTATAGAATGATTTTAGCGTGATGTGATTACCTTTCAAAAGCTTAAACCTGTGTTTTTTCCAAACAGTGATAAAGTTGTAACAGAGTTTGGCAACTCTTTAAACATTGCAGCAAGTGTATGTCTATAAATATATGTGCAGAAACTGAAAATACTCGAAAACAAACTTTGCAAACGTTTGGCTGAAACCGCAGTTTAGCAATTACCTACGAAGTTATGTGGGATTTAGAGTGCTTTTAAATTCTATTTTCAAAGTCTCTATTGGCCTAATGCGACTGATCTTTTTTCAGAAAAGTTAATGGAGAATTTATTTCTGTAATTAAAGAGTTTCAATGGAATCTGAGGCCGTAAGCATTTTTAGGGGAAAAAAATAAAAATCAAACATTATCGTATTTACTGTTCTTAGTTTGGTAGCTATTAAGAAAGTGGAATGAATTTATAATTATGTATATACTTATAAACAATGCTTCTATTTTTCAGGTTTTCCAGATTGCATATGTCATTGTGAAAGCAGCAAACTCTCCCCGACCTGGGAACTGGATCCTGGAGCGTTCTCTGGACGGTGAGGCCTACCAGCCCTGGCAGTACTACGCCATCACCGACAGCGAGTGCCTGGCACGCTACAACATCCACCCCCGGCCTGGAACGCCCTCCTACATCAAAGATGATGAAGTCATATGCACCTCTTATTATTCCAAAATCCACCCTCTGGAGAACGGAGAGGTAAGATTAGATGTTATTCCGTGCGCCATAATCTGGCAGTAGAAAAACCGCATTTGTTTAATTGGCAAATATCTGCCTTGATTAGACAGAGAGGGTTTTGATAGGCTTGAAAAATGGGGAGGTAATTTTCTAGCCCAGAGAAGCTGTGGCTGCCCCATCCCTGGAGGGGTTCAAGGCCAGGCTGGATGGGGCTTGGAGCAACCTGGTCTGGTGGGAGGTGTCCCTGCCCAGGGCAGGGGGTGGGACTGGATGCTCTTTAAGGTCCCTTCCAACCCAAACCATTCTGTGATTCTATGATTTGCAATTTTAAAAAGCTCCTCTTAGGTGGTGCTATGGAAACACATACAAGGTACGCTCTAATAGGAATATTCTACAAAGTAATCCAAGAGGTGAAAGCGCTATTAGGTAGGACAAAGCACTAGGACTTTCAGACATCTTTAGGTGCTTGAAATATGTTCCTGTGTCACTTGTGAACAAAGGTGAGAATACTGGGAAAAATCGTGGATCCAGTGAAGTAATTAAAAGACTTTTCTTTGAGTCGCATTTTCAGTCCCCGTGTATACACTGGGATGTTAAATGGTAATGATCTTACTCAGAGTTTAATTTATTGCATTTAAGAGCTTGTAGCTGACCCTCCGTCCCTGCATGTACCTATTAATTCTTCTCCTGTCGGAGGCCGTTGTCGTTTCGTTGTGAGTCTGGGCACATGAATCATGGACCGCTCATTTGTTTTCACTGGGGGCGTAGGAAAGATGTGGTGGAGGCAAGAGTGAGGAACTGTGGCTGAAAGAACAAATGTAACACTGTACCTGAAAATACAGTTTTTTCAGCCACTTAGAATGAAGAGAGAGAACGCCCCGTGTACCAAAATCCAACAAGGGTACATTTTTTTTTCACAATTTTTTTTTCCAACACTTGCCTTGTACATAACTTGGTAATTCAAGGAAGTAACCTGACTTGAAAGTCCACTAGTTCTGGAGTATTTATTAATTTACAGATTCTTTGATGTCTAATGATCTGTGAAATTTTAGCCTCAAAATCTATCCTTCTCTTAATTGTTTCTGTTCCACGTTTTGATGGTTTATCTCCATATAAAGAGGTACAAACTTACCCTCTTGTGTTCCTCTACATGCAAAGCAACATTCACATAAAAAATTGTTAATACAGTATTTTTGAATACTGGATGTAGATATGTGTAGTTTGTTTATATTCATGGGAGATTTCCAATGCCAGCTGTGAAAATAGAAAAATACAGCTTTCACAGAAAATATCCTGCTGATGCACTTGAAACAGATGTAAGCTTGGATCTGAAGGAGCCTCATATGAGTTATCAGATATGAAATCAGTTGCAAGTCTAGGAAAAATCAACACAAATGCTTTGTGTCTGTAGTTGTAGCATTCGTAGTAGTGTCATTTGAATGGGTATTTGTTATTGTAAAATCTAGCAGCAGCAGACAAAGTGATATTGAATGAAACAGTGCATGCATATGTGCTACGTTTTCAAAATATTTCCGACTGGGTGCTTTTTGAGGGGTGAGAACATGAGTTATAGCAATTTATGACTTGCAAAAAAAAAGTTGTATACAGTTTCGTTGGGAGAATGTGCCTGCGCTGAAGATATAATGCCAAAGTAATTATCCCAATAATGAATTTAATTTACATTGTTCAGTTCCTTTGATTATCTAATTCTCTTGCAGACAGATATTGATTTCATTAGGCTGCTGTCCTCTTGGTTAAACCAGTGCCTCCTTCTGTTCTTCACTGGCCGAGTCGAACAGCAAAAGGCTTTTATTTGACGTGCTGGTAACACAGCGGTGACTGGAAGGCCGAGTCGAACAGCAAAAGGCTTTTATTTCATGTGCTGGTACGCAGCGGGGATTGGATCTGCCTTCAGTCCTGCTGAGCTGAGCGGAGCCTAATTCCCATCTTAACTGTGCAATTAATAATTTTTAACTTGGCCTTAACTTGTGCTGTGATTGGGGTTCTGTCCTGAACCTAGTAAATGACCAGCATCTGGTAAAGAGTTTCTTTAAATGGGAAGAAGACTTGGAAAGGAGGAACGTATCTGTTCATTCCACCTGGAAAAGGGGAGTTAGAATGGATTATTTCAGTTGGAAGGGACCTACAACGATCATCTAGTCCAACTGCCTGACCAATTCGGGCTGACCAAAAGCTAAAGCATGTTGTTAAGGGCATTGGCCAAATGCCTCTTAAACAGTGCAGGTTTGGGGCTTCTTCCAGTGTTTGACCACCCTTTTGGTGAAGAAATGCTTCCTAATGTTCAGTCTAAACCTCCCCTGGTGCAGCTTTGAACCATTCCCACCCATCCTATCACTGGATCCCAGGGAGAAGAGCTCAGCACCTCCCTCTCCATTTCTCCTTGGGAACCTGTAGAGCAATGAGGAAAATATTTTGGGTGTTTACTGTTTGCACCAGTAATATTCTCTTGGTCAAATGCAGAATTAAAACCAGCAGCAATTAAAAAAAAAAACACAACAAAACAGCAAAAAGACAATAAACAAACAAAATCCCAATGTGATTTATCTTCAGGTCAGCGTTAACAAGCACGAGTTTAAGTTCGCTCAGCCAAATGTGAATAAACAATCTGTAGACCAAGAATTATTTGCATAAAATAGTTTTATTGAATATTTGCATGAATTAATGGAAAGTCGGATAATGACAGCTTCTGAATGAACAAAACTAAGAAATTCTCAAATAAGGAAATTTCTCTCAAATTCTTTCAATTTCTCTCAGAACTGTAGACCTGAATGCAGAGGGATCGTTAGCGTTCCAGGTCCCATTCTGCCTAAGAGCAGTGATTTGTGAGAAAATCATAGGGAGACAGAGTGTCACTGCATCACACTGGCAAAGGGAGACTTTCAGCACTGGTGTTTCTGATAGACCATCAATAAATGAAAATGCTAAAGTTTCCCAAAAAGCATCACACTGGCAAAGGGAGACTTTCAGCATTGATGTTTCTGATAGGCCATCAATAAATGTTAAACGCTAAAGTTTCCCAAAATAGTATTTCAAAAGGAAAAAGCAAGTTCCAGTGTCTCCGTGTCCCCAAGCCAGAAAGGGAACTGAAAGAGATCTGTTATATTAATGAGTTACTAATTAACTTTTGCTGAATTGATGTTTCTTGCTTTAATGGTAATTTTTTTTTTTTTTTTTGGCACTGACTGAGAGTGGTTTATGGCAGGGGTAAGAACCGGCGGGATGAGGCTGCTATTTTGGGGTAAAGAAGAATGCTCATTTTGTGACATTTTCATCTTTACTAAACACTGTATCAAGGTGCTATTTCTTTTTTTCTTTATTTCCTCAGATGATCATTAGGTTGAGAACTAAAAATTAATGGGTTACCATGGTGATTTTTTGCTTCAGTTCCCTGACACAGGAGCCTCTGATGTTTGCATCTAGTTTGTACTTTTATTATTGCAATCTTTCTTCTTCTGCTAGACTATAATTTGTGTCACAGCTTCCTTACCTTCATGACTAGGTGGATGTAAGGCTCTGGACATTAACTTTCAAAGCTGTAATTTCTTTTTTTTTTTCCTGTGAGGTGTATGAAGATTTCTTTTAGTTAATGCTTGTTTGAACTAGCATGTATATTATTTGTATTTTGATGCAGATTTTTCAAAGCTAGACCCTCTGAAGGCTTCAGGTGCACCAGTCGATGACTATAACATGTTAGGAAAATGCATATCTTTTCATAGAAAATGACACATTTTACTTGAGCTGTAGCTTGAGAGGAAATAAAATAGGAGGTTACACTTAGAAAAAGCATTCTTCAGGCATACATAGATTCAGAGTATTTTTTATAGGCTAGGAGAAAATATTTAGGTCAAAAATAATTGTTTTGTTGTGTCTTTAATATAAAGTAATTCTCTGTGCAAGGAGAGATTGAAAGTCAAATCCAGTGAAGGCAGAGGGAGAAAGGTTTAATTAATCTGATAGGAAAGCACTTGGTTTTACTTATAAAGAAGAAAAAAACCTCATATTCTGGGAAACATTGAGTTTCTCTACAGTGAGGCTTTCTGAAAGTATAAAACCCAAGAGAAAGGTGTGAGTTTAAGTCCCACCTTATTAAATCTTAATTGGAATAGCCAGTCCTGGTCCATATTAATATTATCACACAGCAGAGTTCTGATTATAATGATTATTGTTGCGCAAAGGTTATGTAAAATTACAAGGAGAAGAAATTGCTCCCTTTTTTTTTTTTTTTGTGTATCTCGTACCTCCCCATCACCAAATCCACTTGTGCAACTGTGGGCTTTTTGCCTTTCCATCACATTGTTACTTGTTTGGTGTCTCATATTTCACGGAAGAATAAAGCTGAGATGCAGATTAGCTGCATCAGGATGCTGTGAACATCACTGCCTGCTAATTGTTGCAATACTAATTTGGTATCATGAGAAGAAATCCATAAATGTGTCTTTGCCCCAAATTGTAACCAGTGAAGAAAGCTGGATATTTGTAATCATCCTAATGAGGAAACGGAGAGGTGAAATTTCTGGATTCAGCCAATATTTCCTTGTAGTGAATAAGGGGAGCAATCTCTGACCCTCCTGTGTGAGATGCTTTTCATGTGGTATTTTCAGTTGCTGACAAGGATCTACCTTGACATTTAAAGATCAAAAAATTGAAAGATATTAGCCCTATATTTGAAGGAAAGTAACTGATTCTAGAAATGAGAATGCCACCTGATAGCAGGATGCACCAAGTGTACCAAATTTCAGAAATGATTCTCTGTTGCTTCAGATCAAAACCAGCCCTGGGTGTTGCTTGTTTCTTTTCAGCAAGTGGCATTTGTGACTATCGATGTGACTATCAGATGGTTGATAAGACTATATTGATAATGACTTTCAGACTATTATTAAGAAGTAATATAGTTGCACATCTGTTAGTTAAACATTTTTTAGGAGCACAGCCCAATGCACCCTTTAAATCAGGGTTAAAGCACTGGGTCCTTTACCTCAACAACATCATCCTCCTTCCGG